GCAAGCCTAAAGCCCTAAGACCTAAGGCCTAAGCCCTGAGCCCTAAACCCTAAACCGCAAAGCCAAAGCCCTAAAGCCTAGAGCCTAAAGCCCTAAAGCCCTAAAGCCCTAAAGCCCTAAAGCCCTAAAGGCTCAAGCCTGGCACAGCCGCAGAAAAGCGCAGCTGGCAGCAGCCACCCAAGGATCCACGGCGGCCGGAGCCTGAGCCGCTAAGAATATCAGGGATGTAGGCTTCAGGGCTTAGGGTCTTTAGGNNGGTCTTTAGGGTTTTGGGGGCTTTAGGTTTTTAGGGCTTAGGGGGTTTTGGGGTTTACGGGGTTCGGACGTTTAAGTGGTTTAGGTCGTTTAGGGGGTTTAGGGTTTGGGGCTTTAGGGTTTACGGTTTTAGGGTTTAGGAACTTGATGTATGGTTTAAGGTTTAAGGGTTTTAAGTGAGAGCCCTGCCCAACAACAGTGAGAAGCACGGGCATGCTTGATGTATGCACCAGGGCCCTGAACTTCTGGACTTCTATATCTTTTCTTGTAATATGGGCGCCTTAATACCTAGAATAGGGTTTTGGGGTATATTATGCTACAATTAGGCCCGTACCGTTATTGTCATGCTTTCCTATAATTTTTTTGAACTTCCCATTGGGGTCAGCTGGTGGAGGTGTGGATGCTGCTTATTGGTTGTTTCTTTCTCTGCCGTGCGTCTGGCCCTTGGTCATAGGGGCCTAGCCCTCCATACACCTGGAACACCCAACCCCAAAACCCCAGGCCATAAACCCCTAAACCCACTGATACAGAGGGGAGCAGCTGCGTCACCAGCAACGCAAGCCCTTAAATTTCTCGTTCCTGCGATATTAAGCCCGCATGAATTACAAGGGTTCTTTGAAGGATGCGACGAGGGTTCAATACAGGACACCTCCCTGCCTTAAGCGCCCTTAGAACCATCATGAAAACTACAAAAGTGCAAATAATCCCCTGGAGTTCCTGTGCTGAACTTGAACCTTGAACCCAACAACCCAAAACCATGAAACCGAAAAGGGCCTAAGCGCTGGAACCCAACGTCCTTTCCCACAGAGATCCTGAACCCTCAAAGACAACCCAACCACTATACGAGGAGATCGGTACCAAGCCCTCTGATTTTTTGGATCCTCTTGAGCCTGAGGACTCGAAAGGTGGGATGAAGGTAGGTAGGGTTCAGGATCATTTACATGACGACTCTTATCCTCTTGAAGCATGGGTCTCCAGCTGTCGCGGCGAGGATGTCCGGCAGCATACTGGTGGCCTCCAGGCTCCCAGGCTGTTTTGGGGCAGGGCTTCGGGTTTGAGGTTTTGGGGTGTAAGGTTTAGGATATAGGGTTTAAGGGTCTAGGGTTCAGGGTTTATAGGGGTTTGAATGTGCGGAGCGGAAAAGTTGTTGGCTGGGCCTGCCAGGGCTGTTGGCTGCCTCTTGTCCTAGTCAAAGCTCAAGCGCTCCGCCATTCTGGTGGATGCACTATAGGGCGGGGGGTTTAGGGGTTGGAGGGTTCAGTATGTGGATAAAAGATTCTATTACGCGCAAGGTCTTTAATTGTATTTCCCCTGCGTTCAATCGCCAGTTTGGTGCGTAATGCGGGGCCTCAGCAATGACGAATGAAGCGTTTTTGTACAGCACCGATACCCTAAAAAGGCTTAAACCTGAAGCCTCCGTCTTCGCGAGTTTCTGGGCTGGACGACTTAGGGGACTCGGTAAGTACGCCTCTCCGAAAGATTCCTATCGACTTGGCAATCTGTTGGGAAATGTCAGTCCTCACCTGCGCAATCTCTCCCTCTCCCTCTCCCTCTCTCCCTCTCCCTCTCTCCCTCTCCCTCTCTCCCTCTCTCTCTCCCCCTCTCCTTCTCCATCTCCCCCTCCCGCTCCCTCTGCTTGTTTGCAACTGCAAACGGATATTGGAAAGTGAGAAAACGCGAGACACCCGAGACAGCGACAGACGGCCGGAGCTGGCTGGCTCAGTTGCACATGCGCCGGCGCTTGTTGCAGCACGGCAAGCAATCCGAGACTCGCCGAGGAAGGCGGTCCACCAAGAATCGGCGTAACGCTGCAGCTCGAGATACCACTCGCTGTTCTGCAGCTCCGGCCTCTGCGCCCTGTGCGGCCATTTTTTGCAATGCGAAATTGCGAAATTCAGGAATCTGTCCGGGTCCGGGTATCGCAGCTTATCTGCATAATGTGCAGCGCGCCCTCAGCTTTCGACAGCCAGCCAGCGACCGCAGAAATGCGCCCTGATCCCATGCGGATTCGCTGTCAGCTCGCGCCAACAACGCGGCATTATAGGTTCTCGTTAATCAGCATATATGGTTCCTTGATGTCCAGCCGCGGAAACACCTCCATGATCCTCCATGTTGTGCCTCGTGTCGATGTGAGTCCACCGACACCGTTTCGCAAACTTGTTCGAGGCTTCCACCAAAGTCTCCACCTGCGCCTCCCGATCGCTGTCCTGGGCAAGTGTGTCCAGCCGCATCACAGCCGCGCTGATGCAGTTGCCGGATTGACCGCTGAAAGTATCCGCTGGCAGGCGGGCTCCGTGTTCCGGCTGCGAGCCGTCCAGATGCAGCATTGCCGCCGGTCGAAACAAATGCTTTAAGGATTGGATGGGAAGGATGCTTGCATCCAAATAAACGATTCTCCGTGCGCTAACGGAGAGGATGCGAAGCTTCGCGAAAACTTTGTCGTGCCTCCTGCTCGAACTAACAGTGGGCATGTATATGGGGCTCGTCGCTTGGATGTGCCAATATCTCTCCAAGATCCGCCGTTCCTCCATGCTCACAGTGCTTAAGAGCACCCGCTGGATGTCCGGGTCCAAATCGCAACACGGAAAGGAAGAATTTACTATCATCTCCATACAGCACCGACACGCACGTGCTCTCGCATCGATAGTTCCCACCCATCTCCGAGAAAAACTCGTCAGTTGGTGGACAAGCGATTGTCGTGCACAGAGACGGTGGAGGTTTCTCCAGCCCTGTCAGTACGGCTCACAGCAGTAAACTGTCTTGGTAATACACACTCCGTACGCAGAACACCGCCCGTTCGACACGGCGATCAAACTTGATGGGTTGCTCAGGAATAACAGCTCGATCCGCCACCTGGTGCCAGTGCCCCATCTCCCCCCTCTCCCGCTCTCTCCCTCTCTCCCCTCTCTCTCCCTCCCTCTCCCTCCCTCTCCCTGCCTCCCCCTCCCTCCCTCCTCCCCCTCCCCCTCCCCCAAATCTGTAGCCCTAGGACGTCAACCCATACTGTATGAAACCATTTAAACCGTAAATCCCCACACCCTGAATCCCTGAGTCCCCAAACCGCATGAAGTCCCATCTGCAAGCCGTTCAGCCGAAAGGCAGCTTGGCAAACCGACGGCACAACGCAGCAGATGAGCAGTGTCGGCCGGCGTCCAAGTCTGTCCTCGGATGACTTCGGAAACCTCACGAACGCTGAGACTCGAAAGCCACTGCATTTAGAAACATCCGAAAATCTAAGGTTTAGGGTTTAAGGTTTCAACGCTAAACGCTGCTAGAACCGAGAGGTAATGCGGCAAGGCGTCGAGAAGCAGGCCCATGACTACTGGACCAAGGCAGTAGCCCATGGAGAAACCCGAGGCCACCCTGCGAGATGGTTCCCGTGGCTCAGGGGTTTTATGGGTTTACGGGGTGGCTTTGGAGGTTTTGAGCAGTTTGGGGAGTTCTGGGGTTCGGTGGTCTAGTCTTGTCTTTGTGTGCTGTGCTCTTACATCGGGGGATTGGACCTACCGGCTGGTGCTTTTGTTTGCTTGCTCGCTGGCTAGCTTGCTTGCTTGTTTGATTGTGCGCGTGCTAATCTGGGTTATAATTTTGGGGCCCCCAAACGAATTATAAACTGGTCAATCTCTAGGACCATAAGGGAAATATTGAAGCTTCCCAAAGTGTCACCTACTAAGTGTGTCCGGGCTTTCTCCTCTCGCAGATAGTGGTTCCCGAAGGTTTCGGACATTGGTCTACTGAAGACCCGTTTTAAATTCATGTGACAGATTGACCTTTATATGCATGTTGTGTGCATATATATATATACTCATACATACAAAACAAACATACATACAGATGCGTGTAATATGGTTCTACATACATACATACGTACAAACATACATACATACAAACAAACATACAAACATACAAGCATACAAACATGCATACATACATACATACATACATACATACATACACACAGACACACAGACATATATTCATACATACATACATAGATGCATGCATACATACAGACACACGTACATACATACATACATACTTACATACTTGCATACTTACATACTTACATACTTACATACTTACATGCTTACAT